TAACTCATATCATCAAATATTCATATGTTCATAAATGTTTATTTAATATAATTTACTATTTTTTTAGGGTATGAATGTCGTCGTTACTTTAAAAAGTGGTGTAAAATATCAAGGATTTTTCAGGACGGCTTGCACAGATGGTGAAATGGGTGTGGTATTAAGATTAGCCAGGAGGATTTTATCCAAAAACGAAGAAAAAACTACTCCAAATCCTGCAAAAGAATCTTTTATCATATTGGCAAAAGATCTTATGGACATACATGCTACGAATGTTGACTTTTTTGCATCAGAAAGACCAAGTTTTGAACGTGATAGTATGTAGTCTATTGTTGATATGATCTTATGTAGTCTATTGTTGATATGATCTAGATATATATATATTATATATCACGTGTTATGTAATTTATTTACTTATAATTCATATCTTACCCATTAAATATTTAATCATTAGCTTTTCGAACTGATTCTGATATAACTGATCGCACAGAAATCAGAGAAAGAGAACTTCATAAATGGACTCCTGATGAATCAGGAGAAAATATGTTGGGCATAGAATATCCTTTTATTTTTTTACATTTGCATTTTTTTAAATATATATATATATATATACACACACACACACACACCACATTTATTTTATTATGTTAATCTTTAATTCCTTTGTACGGATGATTTAAGTCTAGAAAATGGTGATAATAGTTGGGATCAATTTGAAGTGAATAGACAATTATTTGGTATAACCACTGATTTCAATGAAGAAATTTATACCACAAAATTGGATCGATCAAAGCCTGATTTTAAAGAACGAGAAAAGGCTGCTATTGCTCTTGCAAATGAAATTAACAGAGTAGGTTTAATTTTTTTAAAAAAATATAAACATATAAATATATTATATATGCTTTAAGCTATTTAAATTTTCATGATTATTATAGACTACTACTACAAACGTTCATATGTTGGAAGAACGTGGTCATATCATAGATGAAAGTCAAATTGACGAAGAACAACTGTAAGCGATCAACTGATTGATTAAGTGATCAAATTGATTTATTTATTTATTAATTCAAAAGTTGCTTTTTTTAAATCCAATCAAAATATTATTATTTTTAATTTAGTTATGGTGCTGTGGCTCGTCGTGATCCAAGTAAATACATGCCACCTGCAATTCGTAAACAACTGCAGGAACAACAAAAGCAGCAACAGCAACCATCATCGCCACCGCCACCATCACAACCACCTTTACCCATTCCTGTTCCACAACAACCTCAACAACAAAAATCACAACCACAACAACCTCCAACACAAACACAATCAAATACTACTACACAAATAATTGATAAACCAGAGCCAGCTAAAGAATCTTCTAAAGATACTACTTCTACCACCACCACCACCACAACTACTGCTAAATCAAAACCTACAGAAGAAATAAAGCCATCATCACCTGATAACAACAATAACAAGTCAGAACCTTTAAGCAACGGGACCACAACCACGACAGTAACCAATACAACTGCTACCACAAATAAATCAACCGCACCTGTACAAAAAGTTAATAGTTTGGCTAAATTCCGTATAACAGAACCAATTGAAGTTTTACTTACTAAGGTTCCTAGGGTGTTCATTTATTTTTATTTTTATTTTGTTAAATAAATATTAATTTAATAAATCAAACACACACACATACATATAATATAGAGAAACAATAATAATCAAAGCTCTGAGGGGAAAAAAATCGAAACACAAATGGAAACACAAATTGTCAAAACATTCCGACAATTTGCAAATAACGAAAAAGAAAGGCTTCAACAAAGAAAACAAGCTATATTCAAAAAAGAAATGGATGGAAAAGTTGCCGAATTACTTAAATGGGGTCAAAACTTTAAGGCATTTAATTGATTAAATATAAATATAAATATTTCTTTTTTTAACAAAGGCTCAACATTAACAATAAAATAAATATTTGTTATATAGTTAAATTCACCATTACCACAAGATCTTATACCAATTTTGACAAATGATGAATCTAAGCGTCAAAAACTTGCAGCTAAATCTGTAACTACGAACAATGAAAAAACAAAAGATAAGGCACTAGATAGAGGTGTTGAAACTGATAATAAGAACAATAATAATAATACTAATAATAATAAAAATAAAGATAAATCATCCAAAGATAAAATAACCGCATCCAAGATTTCAGATTTAAAATCAAAACCAGAAATCAAATTTGAAGATGATAAATCGCAAAAATCATTTTCTCAACCAGAGTCAAAAACATTAATAAATAATGATAATAAATCATCATCATCAACATCACCAATGATAACGACATCATTATCAGCAACTGATAAATCAATTTCTGTTGCTGATAAAGCACCACCACAGTTTCCACATTCAAGAAATAATAATACTAATAATAATAACAACCAATCATCATCATCATCACCATCATCAACAACATCATCTCAATTCAAATTTAATGTTAAGGCGTCAGAATGGAAACCAAATCCTAATGCGGCAAGTTTCACTCCGGTATGGGTTGATTGAAGTAATAATCTTTATAAGCAACCCTGTTTATTTATATTTGTTTAATATGTAATATTTATATATATTGTTCAAAGGGTTGATTTAACTTATAGATTTACATTTTTTTATAATATAATAAATATCTCAATATAATAGATTGTTACCAATACTGATAAAAAATCACCCAATTCAGTATGTATAAAATTTAATAATTTATTATTATCATCATTTTGGTTATATAATTTTTTTAATTTTATTTTTTTACTAGTCACCTTTCTTTGGAAATCGACAATTAAAAAAGAATTCAGCAACACTTAAAGAAGGGTTTAGTCCTTTTCATAAAGGAAAACCATTAGTAAATCCAAGTTCAATTGCACCAATTTGGAATTATGGCACAAGACCATTCAGACACCACTTTGTCACATCTAATTATGATGAAGAAATATATCCTCAAGCAACGGTCAATCCAGGCTATGGATTCACAAGTTATCCTGTTGCACCACCTTTCCGATATCCAAATGCAGCACAATATGGTGTAGTTCCACAGATGCCTTTACAACAACCTACACCTATGCCATATATGCAACAAGGGGTATGTTGAATCATTTTTGGAAAAATTATAATAATGCTTTATATCCTGACTTGTGCACATTTATATCCATTATATAGTTTGTACCTGGTGTATCATTTCCTACGCCACCAATTCCGCAAAATGGTGCCCCTCGTATGTTTTATATTTAAATATCTCATTGAATTATAACATTCAATTAAAGCGGCATACATATGTAATTAATAAAATTTGCATGAAATTTGTTTTGACAGCTATTTATAATCAAATGCAAACAATCGTTCCACGTAAGTTTTATTTAATTATTTCATATACGAATATTGATTTTATAAACACAACAAAGTATTATAATAATAAATAATATAATTTAAATAGAGCATTTTGGTTCACAAGGATTTCCATCTCCAGGACGTACACCAATGGTTCCAGCTGGAATGCATCCACAAATATATCAGCCATATCAAAACCCACATGGTACATATAAATTCCTTTAATCATTTTTGTGATTGTGGTCTGTGATAAAAATAAAAACTGATATTTTACATCTTTCATTATATAGCAATACCACAAATGATGAGATATCCACATGAAATGGTACCTCAAGTACCACCAAATGGTGTAATTTTGGGACAAAGGCCTATGATGATGGAGCCTCATTATGTACCACAACCTGAAAATAATCAGATGGGTAAATTAAAAAATTAAAAAGGAATCTCTTTTTTCCTTCATGATTTTATTTATTACTACTATTTATTATTAAAAAAAAAAAAATATACAAAACTTTCTTAATACATACAACACATTTATTGAATTTTCTTTTTAAAAAAATCATAAAGGTTTTTAAACCAAAATCAAGACAATTGAATAATTTTTCACTTTTTTTTTTTTACAATTATCATGAACAATTGGTTTTTTTTTCTTTTTTTTTTTTTAAAAAAAAATTGATTATTTTTAAATTAGGAAGGAATTAATTACAAGGATGGGATTTTGTAATTTTTTTTAAGATCATGAACAATTTTTTTTCTTGTAAAAAAAAAAAAATCTAAAAATGATAATATAAATTTTTTTTAAAAAAGGAATTTGATCAATAACTTTTTATTTATTTTTTTAAAAGATGTGTGTAATTAATCTATGGAGCTTATAAAAAAGTCAATTATATTTTTTCTCTTTGCAAACTTAATCATTTTTATTATACAGCTAATATATTTGACGTTCAAACAAAATTTTTCTTTTGTAAATTTGTAGATATATTTATTATAATAATAATAATAATAATCGCACAATCTATTATATTTAATTTCTCCTATTCCTATCGAAATTATCATTTTTAATTTTTTCTCTTCGTTCTTTTCGATGTGATTTTCTAGAAAATTTATTATCTTCCAAATTTTTTTGTTCGACGATTTCTTCATCTAATAATTCCCATAACCAATCTGGATATTCATTATCAAGTTTTGTTATAGGGTCAGATCCATCTTTATAAAAATTTAATCCTTTTATAATCATTCCAGCTGGTACTGAAGACTCTTTACGTTTTTGAGTTGGTTGTGATGATGATGATGGTGATGATGGTGATGATGATGATTTTATAACTTCTGTAATAATTTATTAAAATTCATTATTCTTTTAAAATAGTAGCTATCATCATTGTTACTATATTATAATAATAATATACCTTTAAAAGTTGTTGATGATTTTGTTGAATAAAAAGAATGTTTTATTTTACAAAATGATGATGAATAGTTTATGATTCTTATGAATTTATTAATATTATTAACAGATGAAAATTTTATCATTTTTTTGAAATTGTCTGTCTGATTATGTGTAACTAAAAAAAAAATTTCAGATCTGTCGAAACATTTTTTAAAATTTTCAATTTTTCAATTTATATATAAAATAGAAACAAATGGCACCTAAAATCGATCCCAATGAAATAAAAATTAGTTGAGTATATGTACATAACTGATGGTTTTTTATTTTAAAAGAAAAAAAAATTTAAAAATCCATAATTAAAATTTTTTTTCAAATAAAAAAAGTTTATCTTAGAGCAACAGGAGGTGAAGTTGGTGCGTCTAGTGCTTTAGCTCCCAAAATTGGTCCTCTTGGTTTGGTAAAAACTCTTTACATTTTATTTTTTTAAAAGGGAAATAATTAACCAAAAAAAATCAATAATGAATCAAACAATAGGCACCAAAAAAAGTAGGAGAAGATATTGCAAAAGCAACATCAGATTGGAAAGGTTTACGTGTTACTGTTAAATTAACAATTCAAAATCGTCAAGCTGCAGTTTCAGTTGTACCCACAGCATCTACTCTAAGTCATTAGAGCACTTAAAGAACCACCAAGAGATTGTAAAAAAGAAAAAAATGTCAAACATGCTGGTAATATCACACTTGATGAGGTTATAGAAATTGCTTGTACATTATGATACAAATCATTTGCTAAAAATTTGAAAGGAACTGTAAAAGAGGTTTTGGGAAAATGTTTTAGTGTTGGATGCACTGTTGATGGGTTAGTTATTTCGTAAATTTATATATACAATTTATTTAATGTCATATTATTTACTATTATTATTTATTACTTGTATATGCATTGATTATTATAATTATTAGTCAAAGTCCTAGAGATTTATGTGCATAAATTGACTGGCAAAGTTGAAAGTAAAAAAAATTTAATATAGTTATATGATTCTATATTGATTTAAAATAAAAATTTACTAATAAAAAAAAATTTTTTTTTTGACATAATTCCTGAAGAATAATGAAGATGCAAAATAAAAATTTATTATTATGAAATTATTTTTATATAGTATATAATAATGATAATTAATAATTTATTACCAATAAAAAAATTTTAAAGGTTCCTTGAAAAAAATACAATGCATGTATGGCTTACCAAGAAATAAAATTAATTTAATAATAATATTTAAATTTTCTCCAAGTTCAAGAGTTAAATGAAATTCTTGCTGGATATATAAGAATAACATTAATTTACAACATATATATATATGTCATGGTTTCTTTAAATTTATACATATCAATCAATAAATAAAAAGTTAATAATAATAATAATAATAACAACAATAATAATCTATTTATAATTGAACATTAATTATTGAGAAAACCCCATCTTGATACAAATGTCCAGTGCACCATTATCTATCTCTGTGTGTAATTGAAATTTAAATATTTTGTTAATTACACAAGCTCCACTCCTATCTGTCTACAATTTTAAGAATCAATGCCGCCTCATAAATTGATTTTTTGCAAGAGTTTGAATATTCTAATAACATTTTAAAAAATGTATACAAGTATTATATTCCCTGGGAACCTCTTGTTATTTATTTATCATTGTGATGTTATAAATATAAGCTAAAATAAAAGAGAAATTTATATACATAAATAAATAATAAATATAATTATTGATAAAATGTTTGTTAGAATATTTTGCAAGTTTCTTTAATGCTTATACAAACTATTGAATAATTGATAAAACCTTCATTATTATATTTTGTTCATAGATCTTGTCCTTAATGCTTATACAAACTATTGAATAAAATAGTTTTTCGTGAACCTCTCTAAAACTTATTAACCAACACCTCCATAGAGTAATGACCATATGAAAGCTTAAAGTATTCTACGTCTTCTCATTTACTATCAAATCTTTTAAAGTTTGAATAGAAAAAGGCACAACGATAATACAATTTAACGTGTATAAAAAAAGAAAGATAAAACTACAAAATAAAAAATAGTTGCATTTAATACTGTAATGGTAGCGCTCAGTGACATTGCCCTTTTTTAGTATTTTTATGGTTTGTCACGCACAATTTATTTAATATTAATCGTCACAATTTTATAGAGATTGTTATTTGTCGCGAGCTGCCATCTTTATGGACTTTACGGTAAATACTTAATACTTTTAATTATTGGGGATTTTGAAATTAATTTTTTGTTAAGGGAGATCCTTGGTAGCTTTAAATAGGAAAAGAAACTCTTCGTCAAAAGTATGAATTGAAATAATAATAATAATCGTTAAATTGATATTTTTGATAGCTATATCCATCTTTAAGAGTTGCAAGAAATAATGCAGAATAGAAATGGAATATGATAATAAATAGGTACCTAGCGTTAGAATAATTGAAGTGTGACGATGAAGGCAATAATATAAAAAGCAAAGGTTATAAATGAAATTTTGGATAAAAAAATTCAATCAGAGCATCAAAAACCGAAATTAAAGCAAAAAAGATTTTTATTTATTATTTATTTTAAAGCACAGCCTTTTACTTTTATATACATAATCATAAAAATATTGAGCGTCAAAAAATATTTTTAAAAACATGAAAAAATCAAAAATCAAAAAAACTAAATGTATATCGAAAAAAAAAGGAATTGTAAAAATGTTATTTTCTTATTCTCTTAATTCAGCTTTTTTGTCACCAATGGACGCTTCATGCTGAGGATCAAGTTCTTCTCCTGTACGTTCTTTATGAAGTTCTGATAATTTTTCTGCGGCATTTACTCTTTTTGGGGTAAAGAAAACGTGATTAGTAGATTTTTAAAATTATATTGATTTAAAAAAAAGTATGGTTAATTACCTAGCTTCGTGAGAAACTCTAGGATTATGGGCAACAGCTTTGTATGATTTTTCACTTCTTTGTTCAGAAGAATCAGATTTTACAGGCTACACAACAAATTGATTAGAAATTAGAAATGTTTAAAAAAGAAAGATTTTGTACTAATATTGTGAATAATAATTACTTGTGCTTGGGATTCAGGAATGGAATTTTGTTCGTCAGACATTTTTCAATTTATTATTATTAATTAGAGTTTTGTTATTAGTGTTTTCTTTTTTGTTGTTGTTTTTTGTAATAAGTGAATTATTTATTATTTTTTATTGTTTTTTCGGTAAAAAAAATTGGAAAACCACAGGTCTTTTGGAAATGGTATTTATAAGAAAATTTTTCGAATGGTTTGGATAAACCATGACATAATAATTAAAAATGAAAGGATCTTTTACGTCATTACTTGACGTTGAGATCTTCGCAGATTTTTTTTAACCTTGAGAATTTTTAAGACCAATAAAAATGATGTTATGATTATATCATTTCTTTCTATAATTTTCTTTGTCATCAAAAATTACCTAATAATTACTCAAAAATCACATTTAAAAGATTTCCTTTTTTTTATCAGAGATGATAGTTTGTTTATTGATTATTAACTAGTTAAATATTAGAGGAATATAACAGATAGATTTTTAATTCATGTATAATTTTGTCATAATGATTCAAGGTGATCCCAAATCTTATTAACGTTAAAAAGTTCTTTACAATGAGATAAAATGAGATATACATGACTTATTTTTTGTCTTAGATTTAAAAATTTTCAGTGGGTGGGTAAATTAATTATCACATGTGGTATTTATCCGTTTTTGTACAGAACTTTGCTGACCAGTTTCCTAAATTGAGAACGCAATTAATTCAAACACGAAGATCTTACCTATAAAGGAGAGAACTAAATCTTTCAACACATATCAGATATTAATAATATGGACAGCAAAAATAGCCGGATTTTTATAAAACATGCTTTTTAGAAAAAGGGTTTCAGACCGCAGATCTTTTAAAACAGCTATATAATAATATGTAATTATGATGTCATTACCTCAACAATGACCAAAAATCAAAATTCGGCCTTTTCTGCTGTCCACGTCCCATATATGGTAATATTCCATCTTCCATCTTCAATAATCGTAATCACCTTCTTAATCATCTTCACAATCAATATATAAATTCAGTTGAGCAATAATAGATTTAATGAAAACAGGAGTTACTATTTTGTATTTTATTAATATAATTAATCTAAGGCAATTATTATAATCTTTTTACACAAGAATTTGGCGTTGATGATACAATAATGGATAAAAAAAATTACATTTGAATCATTAAACATGAAATATTGTTATAAATCAGCATGTAGATTTTTATTTGCTTACTTTATTCAACAAGAAACAAGCATTTTAACCTTTAAACAATTGGGGCGTGTAATGGTGGTGGTGTTGACAGATGTTGGAGACTCAAGCTATCGATCAGCTAACATAATCAAAGTTTTATGTGATTATTTTCATCATTTTGATTTTATTGCAGAGAGTTTGTAATGAGTACTTTATTGAATGTACTGAGGATTAGATCTAAACAAATTATATTGTAAAAACAATGTAAAATTCTATAATTTTTTTTACGCAATAAATAATCAAGTCAAATTATCTAGTTGGACATTTACTTCCTTTGAAATCTAATATAACGATGACTATCGACTTTTTGGATGTTTCTTTCCAGAAATAAAACCACCGTTCCCATATGCAAACTATATCTAATAAACGATATAGAAAGTGCCAAATCAGAATTAGGGAAATACATTATCGCATGAAAACTGCCAAGGCTAAATTTTTGTCACGTTGCGCCAACAACTTATTGAAAAATTTTAAACAGGATCATAATATTCAAATACGCCGGGTCAAAAAATCTCGGTCATCAACCTTTAGAAATTTCACAACATCATCACAATGTAATGAGTAAGTTGGGTTCAGAATTCAAATCTGTCATTGAATTTACTTGGAGATATAAGCAATCACCCAAAACACATGGATGTGTTTGAAGGTACTGGTGTTAATGACATAATCAAGACCATTGTGTTAGGGAATCTAGTTGCACATCAGGAATTATTGACGAAAGAAAGAGATTCATCATCATGTTGGATTTTACTTTGGAATTACATTAAAGAAAATTATCTTTTTTACTGTTTTGTTTGGTCTATAAGCTTTAACTATTTATTTATAAAATGCCGTATTACGGTCTCTTTCTAAGAATTAGTGGGGGGGGGGGAGGAGAAATTAAGTGATAATAATAATAATATAAAATAAAAAAAAACTATCTGAAAGACTTGTCTAAAAATTAATAATCATCTACTATATAGATTAAAAATAAATCTTGATGTACTCTATAATTTGAGAACGACACACCACACAGGTTTCAACTTTCGATGCACATTTCCCACATGCAACAAAATGATAACAGGGCGAGAAACAATGAGTAATTGGTTCCTCGAAGCAGATCTTACATTTGATTACTTGTTTTGCTTTTTCACCTTGTTCTTTTTCTCTAAGATTTTTCAAATCTTCATTTTCCTTTATCAAAGTTCGAATAATTTCATTATATTTATAAACCTTATTAACACATGCTTCACTAATCTTTATCTCCCTATCCAATTCTAATTCTAATTTTCCCACGTTTTTACTGTACATACTTTTCAAGCGGGCTATTTCCTTTTCTTGATCGCTAGACCTGGACACAAATTGTTCAATTTTTTCATCCTTTTCCAAATGCTCTTTCTCTAAAAATGAGATTTTTTTTAATAAATCTTCCTGTACTGACAGTTTTTCTTTTCCTTTATTCATATAAGAGGTACATTGGTGGTTGTCAATCTTTTCTTTTAATTCTCTTATTTCATATGTTTGACTGTTAACGACATGTTCAAGTCCTCCAATTATAGATTCGTTGATAGCACATTGTGAGTCTAGTTTGACATTACTTTTCATCAAGTCATTATTGATCGTTTCTAAACGATCGAAAGAATAATCTGACATACTTTTATAATTTTGTAATTTTATTAACTTATGATTTAATTGTTTGTTATAATCTTCAAGTTTGATATTTTCATCAATGGATATTTTTTTACTTGCTTCCAGTTGAACCTTTTCTTGGTATAGTTTTGCACAATCTGTCTCAAGCCTATTATTCTGGCCTTTGGTATCATTTAATTGCAATTTAAGGTGTTGGGCTTCATTTTCGGCCGTTTTCAACTCTTCAATAAGTTTGTTAAGATGCTTGTTTGAATCATTAAGACATAATTTCAACATACTAATCATAGAACTGTCTTCTTGTTTCTGTTGGTTTGATTGTCTCAATTTGTCAAGTTCATCATTAAGTTTCGAAATTTCAGATGCCAATTTCTTACATTCTTCCTTATAGTTATTAATGTATTCCGATTGTTTCAATTTGTCAAGTTCATCATTAAGTCTCGAGATCTCAGATGCCAATTTCGTATTTTCTTCCTTATAGTTGTTAATAATGTATTCTGATTGTTTCAATTTGTCAAGTTCATCATTAAGTCTCGAGATCTCAGATGCCAATTTCGTATTTTCTTCCTTATAGTTGTTAATGTATTCTGATTGTTTCAATTTGTCAAGCTCATCATTAAGTCTCGAAATTTCAGATGCCAATTTCATATTTTCTTCCTTATAGTTATTAATGTATACATCAAGACTATCTTCATTATTATTATCTATAACAATACTATCATCTTTAAAATTATTATCATCATCATGATTACTCACAATGATACTATCGTCCTGACCATTATTAATACACATTTTATCACTATCACCCGCATCACCAATATCACTTACATTATTACCATCATTCTCGCCATTATTATTACACATGATAAGACTATCTTCAACTGCTTCATGACTACTTAGAATAATACTATCATTAACTACATCATCTACATTAATACTATCATCCTCACCAATATTAGTACTCGTGATAATACTATCATCGTCATCACCATGATTGCTCACGTTAAAGTCATAGTTATTATTATTTATGGAAACACTGTCTTCCTGACCATCTTTATTATTCACAGCGATGCTATTTTTCTCATAATCTTTAATACCCATGATAATATTGTCTTTCCCATTAATATTACCACTATCCTCATTATTACTCTCAACGCGATCCTCCTCCTCTTCCTCCTCAAGATTTAGTAATTCTTTTTCTTGAGCTTCAACGAAGTATAAAAGTGTCTTCTTATAAATATAGAATATATAAGCACTGAGTAAAAGTTTAACGAAAAAATAAATCATTTTATTTATTTATTATCTTTTTTTAGTTGAGGAAGGTTAAGATTGGCGGTGTAGGAACTTGATTGTGCCATGAATAAATTTTTTTGCAGATAATTTCCAAAATTGCATTTAGTAATTTTGGTATTTCGAACTATTATATACTATCCTTAATTTCCAAGAAAAATGGAATGCCATTTTTTTTAGGTTAGGTTCAAATTAGAATTTTAATTTTAAACATACTAATACGTAAACTTGATAAGTCTCAGTCAGGGATACTTATCAAGTAAACCGAGTTATCAAATTTCATAACAATAAAAATTTATCAAAATTTATAAAACTCCCAAGGTAGATAGTAGGTTACTTTAGAGAAGCATTTTGTTTTTTCTAATTTGATGTTGCAAGTCTCATTTCTGATACTATTGAACTATTTACCTTATATTGGAATTCTGTTGCAAATTATATTTGATATTAGAATACCCATATTTTTGTCCTCTTCTTCTGGTGCTTCTTGTGCTGCAGCAGTTACCTCATCATCATCATTAATCTTCCAGCCGTTTCTATTTTATAATCAATTAATTAGTAAATAAGCATACACAGCCAAAACTGAATCCTCAGTTATATAAGTATAACCTTGTTACAACAAAATGGCTGGGCATATAAGAAAATTTCGTTGAAACAAGATTACTAATCGTGTTTCAACAAAGTTTTCTTATATGTGTAACAAAATTTTTAAAAAAATTCGTTAAGAATTTAATTATAATTCGTTGAACAAGGTTTAATTCCTTGTATATAACGAGAGTCAGGAGTATTGCCCACTGCAAACGAGCTTTGATTTCATTCGTGTAACAAAAACTACCCACCAATCAAAAATTCGAAAATAGTCATGTGAGTAAATATCACGTGAAACCGACTTATAGGATGATAATTATTACTAATCACGATAAGCTTTTTTAATCCATGAAAATATCAAATTTTGTTCCACGGATGATATTATTATTATAGCGTTAATTAGGAAACCGTGGTGATAATTAATGATATTAATACCTTTGGTTTCCTGTAAAATAACTATTATAAAGATTGACCAACCGACTTATCAAGGATTTTTTTCAAGATTTTCTTTTGAGGTTTAACTTCCTGACATTATGCAGTCTACCCCATATGGTTAATTTATAATTTAATTCCATTAAGTAATCAAGAAAATTTTAACAATGCATTCCCAAGTATTAATTTCAAAAAATTTTACGCACATAACAATTATAGAAAAGAATTTTTTATTTGAATACATCGTTCAAATAAGATGACGATACCCAGAGCTGGAAATTGGTAATTATAACTGATCACTTTTGCAACATAAAAAAAGTAGAGAAATAATATCAACTTGTCAATTAAAATTGTATGAACACAGACTTTTACTGTTAGGCATTTTGAAGAAAATATTTCTATCTTGCTTTAAAACTCGACAGTTTTTTGACTTATCTTCTTCTTCTTTTGAACATATTTGGTATTAATATCTGATTCATTTTGTGATAATGGTCGCTTTTCTACTTGACTATTTACTACCAAGATATCATTGCCATTATGATCTTTAACAACTTGACTCTTATTATTGTATTCATTAACAATAACACTATCATATTCATTACTATTATTATGTTCAACATTATTATTATGATTTTCTAATTTATTAGGACGTTTTACTTGAGCTTCGTCTATGCTAATAATTGATGGTGACCTAGAGCTAGAAGATTGAAAAGAAATTGATATTGAAGATCGTTGTTGACTGATAATGTAATCAAAATCTTCACTGGACAGCTGTGATAGACAACTGGACGATGATTCCGGCGATGAGATTGTAAATGGTGATGAAGGTGCTAATGGTAACATTTGTTGCATCGAAGGATGTAATGGAGGTGATCCTTGTGATACTGAGAGCAATGATGAATCTGATTTTGACTTGATAGATGACGACAACAGTGGAAAAATTTGTGTTGATTTCAATGGTGGTGATTTTAATGGTGATGATTGAGCCATTATTCTTTTATTATTGATATTATTTTTATTGTCATGATTCGTTGATTTCGATTTCGATTCAGACTCAGACTCGGACTCACTTGAAGCGGATAAAATCTTTTCTTCAACATTATTATACTCCTCATCGCTGCTAATTTCTAATTTCTTGTATTTTCTTTTTTTAGAATAAAAAGTTTCAATCGTAGGATATGGTAATGATCTTTGTTGTTGCTTTCTTACAATCAAAGTATCATTGTAATTTTCCTCATCGTTATCTTCATTTCCGGCTGCTACTTCTGGTACTTCATCGTCATCTTCATTATTTTCAATTAGTTCATAGGATGGATATAACGGGAGTGATACTGGCAGTAAACTTGGATCGGGAATTTCATAAATTTTAGCACTTTTATTGGTGGATTGTGACATTGATGATCTATCTAAATTGTTGTTGATGACGTTGGCAGTGCGTTTTCCATTATATGAATTATTACTTTTGATAATAGTTTTATTTGATCCTGATGAACTTTTGGTTCTATTCTTAGTAAAGGTAGCTGATGATGACGATGAAGTTGATGATGATGATGATTTACCAAATTTAATATGTCGTAATTGCTCTTGTTGCTGATTACTTTGATTTTTTGGTTGTTGTTCTCTCAGATTATTTTGAGTTGTTGATTTTTCCTGTCGTTGTTTATCCTTTTGATGATGATCTTGAGTTTTTGGTTGTTGATGTTGATTGTTCTGATGATCTGGAGCTTTTGGTTGTTGATATTGAACTCGTGATTTTTGTTGTTGTTTTCGGTTTCTTTGAGTTTTTGACTGATCTTGTCGTTGTTGATCCTTTTGGTGATGACATTGAGCCTCGGATTGTTGATTATCTTGATGATCTGGAGTTTTTGGTTGCTGATGATCTTGATCCTGTGACTTTTGTTGTTGTTTTTGAATTTTTGACTGATCTTGTCGTTGTTGATTCTTTTGGTGATGACCTTGAGCTTTGGATTGTTGATTATCATCGGCAACCAAAAATTCTGGATCATCAAGATCTTGAGCCTGTGACCTTTGTTGTTGTTTTTGACTCCCTCGAGTTTTTGGCTGATCTTGTCGTTGTTGATCTTTTTGACGACTTTGGGTTTTTGTTCGTTGTTGATTTTGCCGTCGTTCATTATTTCTTTGATTATTTTGAACGCTTGGTAGTTGTTGATTTTGTGCTTGTTTTTGTATTCGTACATTCGAAAGTCCTTTATAATCAGCTGGATTTTGAAGCTCATGTTTATTTACAGAATCAAGTACTATTTTATATGACATTAATTTGTCCATTTCAGTTTGATTTTGAACAGTTTGTAATATTGACAAATCACTCAAAATCCAATGTGCATTCTCTAATTTATCTACAATATTTCCTCCATTATTCTATTTTTATTTATAATCATTGTTATTATTAACAAAGTAGATTTATTATGATAAATTAATATTTTTGGCGTTTTTAACGCCCTTTTACCATGCAATAATCACCACCATCATCATCATCACATTGATACACACCTCTATAAATCGTCTGATATCCATACTGTCAGGTACATTGCTTTTAATATAAAATAAAATTTTAACACCATTGATGGTAAAAATTGACATTTTTTTCTATTGTGAACAAATCAATTTTATAAAACAAAAAATAAAAAGGCATTTATTTGGACGCAGCAGATTGATAAAAACACGTGGGATGATCAATTTTCAAAAAAAATTAATTGACATTCTAAAATTACCTAGGGGTGTGGGGTTCAACAAGAATGTTACACGCTAGTGCAGTTGACTCTGTTTATACCGAACCCCCTGTCATGAGAATATAGCCAGCTAGATGTGTCATGTGTTGGCAACATATATAATTTAATTTGGTTCAATAATATTTATCAGAAAAGCTTATAAGAGTTATTTTTAGTAATATGAAATTATAAAACATTCTCAAATATAAATAAAAATCTTATCAATCTATCCAGAAGAAGCAATGAATGGAAATAAAAGAAACAAATAAAAGTAACAAAAGTATAAAGAATTATGAAATATAATTTATGCATTGCTATCAAATCATCTGGAAATTTGAGGATATTTATAATAAAGTATTAACATTATTAATCACGCGAATTCTTTTTTCTTACAAAAAAGTCATGACATAATATTATTAATACTAATTAATAATATGTAAATGCAATATAATTAATTTGACAATAGTTTGATTGAATGATTTTTTGTTCTGAGTGGCAATGGTTACGTTTTTTTTGATATTCTAAATGTTTAATCAAAAACGAAATTTTGCATTATGTTACACATGATATTACATGTGTTCATGTGAAAATTTGTTATAGGAAGAGCAAATTAAATAAGAAACTTCAAAAAAGGTGAGTTCGGATTCGTTATAAACAGATTTATTAATTATAAAAATTCGGTCATGGCGATTTTGATTCGCTATATCCAGAGTTCGGTATAGCCAGGTTCGATATAGCCAGAGTCAACTGTAATTCACAAAATTTTACCATTTTATTGATCCAAAAAATTTTCGTTCCTTGAGGTGAAAGAGAAGTAGTGGTCATGTTTAATAAAATAAAGCTTTTTGGTTTTTCTTTATTGTAATTAGGAAAGATCTTTTAAGGCTTTGAAAAAAATTTTTTTTTATGATTATATTTATTGGAAATATCTTCTAAAATATGTTTCTACCAGTTTTATGGCGTTCTACCTTTCTTTTTAACAATATTTTTACTATCTTATGATCTGATCCTCGTATATCTTGGAAAAGAAAATAAATATAAATAATTTTTTATATCAAATAAATATCTTGGGGGTTTTTTTGGAGTCACGTTTGTACAATCACTTTTTCAATTTTTTAAGAAAACGAAATCATACCGTGTAACATTCTTGTTGAACCCCCATACCCCTAGAAATTACTACTAATTTACCATGTGACACTGGAAGAAAATATGATTGGCTAAATTTTATGCGTTGAAAAAAAAATTTGGTTGAAAAACCTGGTGAAAGTTTTATATATTAAATAGTCATACATATACAGTGTGTTACAAAAAAAATTTAATAACTTTACCAAAACAGTCTGATCCGCATCAAATAAAAATTCAAAACAAAGCCTTTCTTTATTAGATTTAGTCTGTTTTATCTTTTAACCAAATCAAATAAAAATTTTTTGTGTAATTTGCTAATAAAATGACACAATCTACAAAAGAACAGCAACGTACAACCTTATTATATTATTGGAATCAGGGGATATGTTCTGCTCGTCTATTACATAATATTACAAACATCCCACTCTCAACTATTTATTTTAATATTGAAAACTTGAAAAAAAAAAAATGGTAACGTGGAACATAAAGGGGGTAATGGTAGAAAAAAGAAAATTACTGCGGAAGCATCACATGCAATCGGACAATATATTCGTAGAGATTCTTCTATTTCTTTGAGGTCTTTGGCTAATAAAATGTTAAATAAAGGAATAGAGGTCTCATATGTAACAGTTTTAAGGCATTTGGAAGGGATCGGATATAAGAAAAATTTGCCAAGAGCCACCCCAATGCTAACAATAAGGCATAAAGAACGTCGTGTAGAGTGGGCACAAAATCATCTTAATGATAATTGGGGGAAAACCCTATTTTCAGATGAGACAGCTTTCCAGCTTTACTGAAACACAATTGAAAGATGGTATAAGAATGTAAGACCCATTTGCCCAATGCCAAAAGATCGCACCAAAATTTTTGCTTGGGGTGGCTTTTGCATCCATGGAAAGACCAGTCTTTTTTGCTTCCAAGAAATTATGAATGCAGAATTTTATGTTGAAATATTGGAGAATCATCACCCAGAGATCCAAAGAATGTTAGGGGATGATTGGCAGTTTCGACAGGATAAATGATCCCAAACATACAAGCCACCATGCCAAAACATTTCTTCAAGAAAACTTTCCCAAAGTTATGGATTGGCCATCCAACAGTCCTGATTTAAACCCAATAGAAAATTTGTGGGCAATTGTTAAGAGGAATGTGGAGAAGAGAATGCCAAAAAATCTGGCGGAATTGGTGCAGTTTATGGCTGAGGAGTGGGATGCAATTCCTAATTCACTTCTAATTAGTTTAATTCATTCAATGAAATCGAGATGTGAACTGGTCATTGAAAATAATGGCGAAAGGATTTCTTATTAAAATATTATCAATAAAAATTATGATTTTAAGCTATCAAATGAGCCATTTTTCACACGAACTAATACAGTAGTTGTTTCACAATGTTCATTTAAAAATTTCCAATTTTTTTGTAACACACTGTAACTTACAAATTATACAATATGTGCATTTTAACTTTTATACAGGATTAAGTGATATCAATGATGCTATTTTTCAACTAACATATAGCATATTATTATATCAATAATAATTTTTATTCCTTTAATTAAATAATTTATCAGGCTGCCATAGAATTTAAATAAAAATAGTATCTTGTTAATATCATTGGAAATATAAATTTCCTTGTCAATTCTATAGATGTTCATATACCATTATTTTATTGTTAAATAATAAATAAATTTCAAAGACCATACAGTAAAAATAAATAAACAATGATTCACATACAAGAAAGAGGCAGTAAGTGAGGACCAAAGTAAATTGTAAACTAATTAATTGATAAGCATCAAATTGTTGTGAGTTGCTTACAACTAACTGACAAGAGTAGTCCAAAAGTTAAGCTGTAATCAGCATTAACCAAAAGACTACCTTGCAATATCACCATTTAACAAGAATCAGAAAACTGTAAAAAGTTTATTATAAGAAATATTATTATAATTTAGAAAAATAAAATAAACATATAAATAGCTATAATGAATAAATGGGGCATGCTGCAACAAAACCAGACAAAGTGAACATTGGTATTACCAAGGATTTCAGGGTTCAAAATTTAGTTACTATCATCACAATTAGTTTATAATGTCCCATTTGTTAAGTAATATACTATATAATACTACTCCTATATAAAAATAACATAATGAAACTCATTTACATTAGATCTACTATGGAACCCAAGAATTATAGTACCATCAGAAGTATTTTGAAGAAAGAACAAGGTGAAAAAAATGCTCCTTATATTTTCAAAATAAATGATACTCAGACACTAGAAACTATCTAAGGAAAGAAAGGATTACTTATGAAATTTACCAAGAAGAAAGAAAAACAATAAATGTTAGAAAAAGAAAACATCGTGATGATGCATTATTACCTAACAAAAAGCAAAAATCTTAAAAGGAAAATAACTACCATTTCTTTGATAGTTGAAATGAATTTCAATTTATACAAAAACTACTTTCTCATTTTCAATCAAGATCATCTTTTAGTCTCTTTAACGTCAATTTGAGCAATTTGACCATTCTGTTGTTGCAATTGGGTTAATTGAACTTTTAAATCATTGATTTCCTTTTCTTTAACACTTAATTTATCAACTAGTTCTTTAGGGGTTAATTTTTTTAATCTTTCTAGTTCAGTCTCCAATTCTTTTATTCTATCCAAAAGTTCTTGCTTTTGCCTCTTACCTCATTCCTCAGACTTTTCTTGAAATTTGATTACTTCTTCCCTTTCAATTTCTAAGGCTTCTTCAGTCTTGTTTAGTTGTTCTTGTAGGGAGTTTATTTGTCTTTCATAAAAAGTAGACTGACTTATTTCTTCATGAGGTAAGAGAGGAAGTTCCTTCTCTTCTAAATCTTCATTGTTTCTAATACAGTAGCAAACATTATCAAAATCTAACTTAGTTTGTAATCTACCACATCTATTACATTTTAATAATTCATCATTTCAATATTTTTCTTCACACTTTTCACAAACTACATCATCTGAAATTCACTCCCCAGTTATTTTACTATGGACTCTTATTTGATGAATAGATTCATTATCTCTGTTTTCAAGTTTGGAGCAAAAATTGCAAGTTTTTTTACTTTCTTTCTCCAATTCCAAAACTGTGTATTCCAGTTCTCTCATTGCAATCTACCTGTTACTTAGACTTTACCTCTACTTGAGCAATCATTTCTTGGTTGTGAAAAATATCCCTTTTGATTAGCTTTTGTATCTTAACTTTTGCTTTTGTTTTTAACTGCCTAAACATACTCTGTTTAACTGAAGCCTTGTTTTCCTCTTCTATAGGTAAAGCAGGTAAAGGTTTACTGTTTAAATAGTGTAAACTCTTTAAACTTTCATTTTGTGATTCATTATCAGATAATTGCTTGCTTAGTTTTTCTATTTTTTTACTCTTTTGACTTGACTCTTCCTCTAACTTTTCAACTCGGGCTTCTATATAAGGAATCTTTTCACTAGCACTTTTGAGTTTTTATAACATTATTAACTGCATTTATAATTCTTAATTTAAAATTGTCTTCTTTATTTGATAATTGCTTCTTTAAATTTTCATTTTCTTCTAATAGTTTTTTATTTACTTTTTTTTGTGCTTCTATGATGTTTGTCATGACTTTACTTTTTTTTATTCTTTTAATATACCTATATCCTTTTTATAAGGGCATATTAAGTATATAAATTATTTTAGTACTATTAAACTTATTAAACTTAATGACAGTAAGGGACAAATTAATGGGTGAAATGATTTTATTCTAAATATTTTATTTGTTGCCAGTATAGAATGGTCTTGGACAAGTAGTATCTTTGTATTCATCTTTCACAGATGGATGAATATTATTATAAAGGTATTCTTGTCTTTTGTAATCAATCCAAAGGAGGCGGTGTTAACACTAAAATAGATAAAGTTCTAATTTCTTCAAAAATATCTGCTTCTTTGGTTTTCAATAAACTGAATTCAATAAAAGGTCCATTAACAACTTCTTGAACTTTCACTGTACCAAGATTAGATGCTTTAAAAAGAAAATGTTGAAATTTCTTATACTTGGTAATTTCTTAAAATAAATTCCCAAAATAGATTTGATATCCAAATATT